TATGAGATGCTTCTACAAACCGTAACTCTGCTTCATTGAGGACACATTTTCATTCATTACGCGCACAGACAAAGAGACGTCCGTTGCAATCAGACATGTCGTTCTGGTACAAACGGAAAAAGTGATTCCTGTGGGCTATAGCAGCTGAGCAAGCAAGTGAGAAACAAAAAGATTGTGCATTTTAACTTGGTATTTCCTTGCTGGAAATGAAAGCATCGATGCGGGATTTTACCCAGGAGGAGACCTCAGACAAGTATTTTTAAAGAAACTACATTCCAAGGGACGTCGCGAAGACAATCACGGAGCGAGTCCCAGTCTGTACGCTGATAGAAGAAAGATATTCTTTTGGTAGAAGGTTCGTGGCTGGTGGGGGAGTTAAAGGAGATGTTTACAGGCATTATCGCGTGATCAGAGGGCAGAGCTGCGTATCGTGACCAGAGTCAGGGATAGAGGTAAAACAGAGCTCGAGAAAGGAGGTGTTTCTGTCAGGGTTACTGGGGAAACGCGTATGAAAGTCAACCATTTGCGTGAGGGATTGTGTGATTGAAAAGTTGAGGATTTGGATGCCAGCGAGGTCAGTGACAGAGTGTCTAAGCCACCTGCTATGGTGGGTGTTAAAGTCACCAAACACGAAAACGGGTGTCCTTGTCTATATTATCGGAAATAGCTTCGCGTACGCAACAGTCTTGAGAGGAAGGTAGAGATAAAAGAGATAGCTTATTGAATTAAGAAGAGAGAGACAGGGGATGGTCTGGAGATTTAAAAGAAAGTTACCTAACCAGCGGGAGGGGATCATGGACATAAACTCCCAGGGCATGCATGTGGACTTTATGCTTTGTATTTAGAATCAGAAAAAAATAAATATTTCACCTCATAGCAAAACATAACTTAGTATTTGGTGAAGAAACCCTTGTTGACAAGCACAGCAACCAAACATTTTTTGTAGTTGGTTGTCAAGTTTTTACAGATCTCAGGGAGGATTTTGGCCCATCTTCTTTGCAGATCTTCTCCAAATCCTTAAGGTTTGTAGGTTGTCACTGGGTAACTCGAAGCTTCAACTCCCTCCACAGATTCTCTAAAGGATTAAGGTATGGAGACTGTCAAGGCCACTTCATTGCCTTAATGTGCTTCTTCTTGAGCCACTCCTTTGTTGCCTTAACCGTATGCTTTGGGTCATTGTCATGCTGGAACACCCATCCATGACCCATCTTCAGTGTCCTGGCTGAGGCAAGGAGGTTTTCCCGTACTTGACCCCATCCATCTTTCCCTTGGCCCGGTGTAGTCGTCCTGTCCTCTTAGTAGAGAAACAGCCCCAAAGTATGTGTCTACCACCATGTTTAAGGGTTGAGATGGTGTTCTTGGGGTCTAAGTCAGCATTTTTCCCTTCAAAGTCGTATAGTCGAGTTGATGCCAAAAAGCTCAATTTGAGTTTCGTCTAACCACAGCACTTTCTCCCAACCCTCCTCTGAATCATCCAGGTGCTCATTTTCAAATTTCTGACGGGTGCCTTCTTGAGTAGGGGGACCTTGCAGGCAGTACATGATTTCAGTCCACTACGATGCAGTGTGTTACTAATGGTCATCTTGGTGGCTGTGATCCCAGCTGCCTTGAGATCATCAACAAGCGCTTGCCGCGTAGTTCTGGGTTGTTTCCTCGCTTTTCTCATCATCAGGTTCACTCCATGTTACCTTGATCTCCAGACCAAGGGAGATTGATAGTCAATTGGGGTTTCTTTCATTTTCTTATCGCACCAACAGTTGACTCCTTCTCACCTAGCTGCTTGCCAATCATCTTGTAGCTCATTCCAGTCTTGTGCAGATACAATTTTATCCTGGATATCCTTGGACAATTCTTTCATCTTGCCCATTGTGGAGAGATTAGATTCTGATTCATTGAAGGATTCTGTGAACTAGTGTCTTTTATACAGTTAATGAGTACTTGATTAGGAGTAATAATTGAGTAATAGGACTAGTCTATATGCCTCCTGGTCACATAACTGGTCTGTGGTTGCTGGTTGGTAGGGGGTGAAATATTTATTTTTTCAATAAAAAAGAAATAAATGTTCAAAAATTAATTTAATGTGATTTTCTAGAATTTTTTTTTATATTCTATCTCTCACTTCCAAGATGGACCTACCCTAAAAATTATAGACCATTCCTATTTTTGTAAGGTGGTAAACTCAGGAAATCAGCAGGGGATGGGATACTTATTTTCCCCACTGTAGCGAGAACAAAGACATATTATATCTTTTATTAATTCCGTTCTTCTTCTTCTTCTTCTTCTTCTTCTTCTTCTTCTTCTATATGCCCCTTCAGTACTAGAATCACAGTTCTCCACAACTTCCTATTCTTTGTCTCCACAGTATGCCACCCAGTCTGCTCGTTAGGTAGTTTGGCTTCTGAAACTTTTTTAAATTAATTATTTGGGCAATACAAGGCACAAAAGCCACCCATGGTAGAGAGGTAATGAATTAATTTGTTGTTATAAGAGGAGAGGTAAGAAGTGGATATTATGAGGATATGTCGGAGAGAAAACGGTTGACCCTAGACTTCAAAAGGTTAAGATCGCAGTGACCGAAAAACATCGGCTCTGTTCTACAAAATAGCGTTTCTTGGGATGAATTTGTCCGATTGGAATTTACTTCTTACCAATGGAATATGAAGGAAATGGGGATGATTCGTCCCAGTGTACTTGTAATGGCGGGTCTTAGCTGTGAAGGTCTGAACTGGTGAAACTGAGGAATGTAGCGCGTCAGAAATGTTGCCACGCAAATAGCAATAGGAGGTTTGTAACGTTTCGTATGTGGAACAGAGGTTTCAGAGTGGAAAAGAATTCATCACCCACAAGGCCGAGTACATGCTTTTTAACTCTACCAAGGCCGGAAAGTTAAGACAGGGCAGCTCCAGCCCAGATATGAGAACTCCATTATCCTTGTGATTCGGATCTTTCTTTCAATATGCCTTGTGAGTGTCAAATTCTCCAAGCTCTCGTCCCTTATTATGGTGATTCTCAAAGCGTAGCTTAGATGTATGGGGTACCCAGTGACGAAGATATGGGGTACCCAGTGACGATCAAGCTCATTATTCAGTCGTAGTTGTTAATAATTACACCACGTCGAGGTACCCCCTCGTTCGTTATTATCCTTCTTTTTTTGTTTTTACTAAATGTTCACCCAACGCAAGGACCAAGATCCACAAATTAGAGATTTACGTCGTTGTTTCGAGATAAGGAAATAAGTACAGATGATGAGGTTATATAGGATAGATAACGATTGACCCGATACTTGAAGAGGTTAAGATTGTAGCGATTGGGGAAGCATTCTCTCGGGAGTCGGTTTCACAAAATAACAGAAAGTAAACTCTATCTGATTTTAATTATAAGTGTCTTTTAGTTCCAATTTTCCTAAAAACGTTCTTGTTGTTCATATGTTCCATCCATGATATTCACTATATTTTTCACCCAATGCTAGACCCAAGAGCTACTCACTCTGTTAATGAATGAAATTGTTTAAGTGCGTAAAGGAAGGAAGTAAAAAGCGCATATTACGAAGGTATGTAGGATCGATATCGGTTGGCGTGAATAGGTTAAGATTATCGTGTTCGGAGAAGCATTTTTCTTGGGAGTCTGTTCCACAAAGTAACAGTTCTGGAGACGCAGCTGTCTTAAGAGAACTTCTCCCTTATCCAGTTTTAATGTGAAGGTCTGAACTGGTGGAACTAAGGAATGTAGCGCGTTAGAACATTTACCATCAAAATAGCAACAGATTAGCGTGAGGCTTGCAAAGTTTCATGTGTGGGGAAAATGGTTATAAAGTTATAGATAATTAATAATAATCACTCACAAGGCCGCGTAAACGAGTTTAAAACTCTGTCAAGGCTGAACAGTGTGGATTGGTCAGCTCCAACCCAGGCAAGGCAGCATTACTCTATTTTTGGTCTTGTATTATTCTTGTAAAGGTAGAGGATAGCAGGTATAGGGAACTGACCATTTTTCCAGCATCTTTAGCGATGGATCGTGTATAAGAGTTCCACTTGAAGTCTGGGTTAAGCATAATACTTTTTTATGTTCTCATTTGAAATTTTTTTTTTTAAAAAAAAAGATTGAGCATAGGAGAAGCAGGCAAATATTTTTTTGATTGCTACAAGGAACAGACGTAACAAAATTTTCATGTTTTTTAAAATATTTTTTAGCGCAATTTCTTTCTTTCCCCTCACTTTACACTTCTTCATCATTCTTATTTTCTTCCTCTTCTTCTTTTTCGACTTCATCTTCTTTTTCTTTCTTTCTTTCTTTCTTTTCTTTTCCCCCATCTACAGCACCACTTTTACACTAAGAACCCCCCCATGTCGACAGACAATACTGTAAATCAATCTACCGAATACCGCCTCACAACAACGAATTCTCGTCCATCTTTCTATTTTCTCTTTTTCCGCCAACTTTTTCTTTCATCATCCCTGTTTTTTGCATTGGACTTAGTCATCAGATATTGGGGAGTGTGTGTGTGTGTGTGTGTGTGTGTGTGTGTGTGTGTGAAAAGAGTGTGAGAGAGAGAGAGAAGGGATGTTTGTGCGTGTGTGTGAAAGAGAATGAGACAGAAAGAGAGAGAGAGAGAGAGAGAGAGAGAAGGGATGTCTGTGCGTGTGTGTGTGTGTGTGTGTCATGGTTGTTCTTAAAACTAGAAAAAAATTAAGAAACGAATTTTCATGTACCTACGAACGTATACATCACAAAATAGGGAAAAAGAAAAAAAAAAATGCACACACACGCGCGCGCACACGCGTACAAACACAAACACTAAAACATTTTGAACGGTAGACAATTAGTAAACGGGATAGAGTGGGAATATTTCTTCTACACAAGTAAGTTTACGGGATGATTTAAGTAAGAAAAAAGAGAACGCGACAGCAGTATCAAAAGAAGGAAAAGAAGATGAGACGAGGCGAAGGCGGTGGTGGTGGTGGTGGCAAATGTATCAAAACAAGAAAAAAAAAGCCGAAACATTAGAAGAAAAAGTGAGAAAGAATAAGTGGGAGGATGTGGTGTTGAAAATGATGGAGGAGGTGACAGTGGTAGCAAAAACAAGAAACGGTGGGCGTATTAGAAGAAGAAGAAGAAGAAGAAGAAGAAGAAGAAGAAGAAGAAGATGAAGAAGAAGAAGAAGAAGAAGAAGAAGAAGAGAAAAACAGTAAAAGAAGAGAAAGAAGAAGAATGTAAGAAATAGAAGAAGAGGAAGGAGAAGAAATAGAAAGAAAAGAAAAAGAAGAATGAAAGAAGAAGAAGAAGAAGAAGAAGAAGAAGAAGAAGAAGAAGAAGAAGATGGGCGTGCATGTGGCAATGAAAATGATAGAGTGGGTAGCGGTAGCTGCAAAGAAGAAAAAGTCAGAGCAATAGCAGACTGGGGGAGAGGATGTGGTGTTGAAAGTTAGTGAGGAGGTGTCAGTTATAGCAATAATTTGAAAAGATCTGAGAAGAAAAAGAAGAATGAGACATGTGGTGGTGTTGAAAATTTATAAAAGAGTCGAAGGAATCGACGAAAACAAAGGAAAATGAGGGTGAGATATTGGTATTCGAAAGGATGGGAGAAGTGGCCATGGAAAGAAGAAGAAGAAGAAGAAGAAGAAGGTCAGTGTTGATTTTGATGTAGACAAGGATTATGTCACAGATAAGGTAAAATCTCTAGAATAAGGATGATCGAATTAAATGGTGGCAGATATGCAAAGGCGCATTGGGGTAGCGAAAGATGCCTTCCAAAAGCGGAGAAAAGTATTAAGAAACCGAAAAAACTTCGTTTGAAACAAAGAAAAGAGTACTGAACAGTTATGTAATATCTCACCTGTATGGAGGTGAATGCTGGGCAATCTTCTCAAAGATGAAGAACAAGAATTGAAGCAACAGAAAGGAGGATGCTGAAGGACCGAATGACGACGAGGTTTTAGAGAAAATTTTAACAAAGAGGTAACTTATAGTTAACCTCAAGAAGAGACTGTTAAAATGCCTAGGGCATATAATTAAGAAAAAAGGTCATGGAAAATTTGATACTCACAAGACAAACTGAAGACAAGAAGGAGAGAGGAAAACAACGCATAACCTACTTAGTGAGCTTGAGTAAATAAATGACGAAACAAGGTTTTGGAGAAATAAAAAAAGGCAAAATTTACTAAAAGCTCCGAGGGACCGAAAATTGTGGAAAGCAACGATCGCCTACGTGCTGAGGTGACAACGTATATAAAGAAGAAGAAGAAGAAGAAGAAGAAGAAGAAGAAGAAGAAGAAGAAGAACCACCTCTTAATTGCTGTTGTTCTCAGGTTCACCCTGACTCGGGTTAGTATAAGATTGTGAAGAGCAATGATCGCCTACGTTCTGAAGGAACACAACATAAAGATAAGATGAGGAGGAATAGACAGTGATATGAAAACAAGGATAGTCTTAGCAATAGAAGAAGAATGGAAGAAATAGAAGAACTAGATGTAAGGCAAAAAGAAGAAGAAATAGAAGAGGAAGAAGAGGAAATAGAAGTGGAAGAAGAAGAAGAAGAAATAGAAACAGATGAAGCACAAGAAGTAGAAGAAATAGAAGAAGAAAAAAAGAAAAAGAAGACGAAGAAGAAGCAGAACAGGAAGAAGAAGAAATAGAAGAGGAAGAGGAAGAAGAGGTATAAAAAGAAACAGATGAAGCACAAGAAGTAGAAGAAATAGAAGAAGAAAAAGAAGACGCAGAAGAAGAAGAAGAAGAAATAGAAGAGGAAGAAGAAGAGTAAATAGAAACAGAAGAAGCACAAGAAGTAGAAGAAATAGAAGAATAGAAGTAGAAATAGAAGAGGCAGAAGAAGAAACAGAAGCAGAAGATGACGAGGAGTAGGCAGTGGTATGAAAACAAGGAGAGACTAAGAAGAAGAAGAAGAAGAAAAGAAGAAGAAGAAGAAGAAGAAAAGATGAAGACGAAGAAGAAGCAGTTAGAATAGTTCAAAAACGGAACAGGCGGAATCAGCAAAATAAATAAAAAACAGAGTGGAAGGAAGAAATATAGAAATAAGTGGCTGTAACCGTTGGATATAGAAGACAGGTCTTATATATATTACTTTGCGGTGAAACAGATCCTCACTGAGTGCAGCACACTGTTGGCATTGCTCATTAATCATTACCCTAAGGCGAAGCTCCTTATTAAAATGAAGATTGATAGATATTTAATAAGCTTAGCTTCGTGTGGTCAACACTGGCTTCACCTTTTGCTGAACTTCAAAATCCTGCTTGGATGTCAGGTGACATTCCACCACGTCTTACACGTGTAATATAGGGTAATGGTAAAATATAATACATATATGGCATAAGTATGTTCGATGCTAATGGTAAAATGAAACCTTTTTCGATAAGGAAAATACAGCATTCATTGACTGGATAGTAAGCGTTAATCTCAGTTGAAATTAATAAAATATTCCTTTTTTATTCTTTTCCCGCCACGCAAGGAAATGAAGCCACTAGGACGCAAGTGGTTACTGAGTTTTAGAGAATATGAGAAAAACTACTATTAATGAGAGAGGACAATAATTAAAAAAAAAAAAAAAATTATGAAGAATTAAGAAGACAGAAGATAACGATTGACATTGCATTTAAATTTTTGAAGATCAAAGTTGACTGGGAAGCAAGAAGCCGGAAGAGAGCTCCACAAGCGAGAGGTGTGAAAGAAGAAACTGTTAGCATAGAACTTACGGTTACATCCATTTCCACAGTAAAACGATGAGACCTTGCCGCCAATCTAATACTTCACTTAAATCCATAAAGTCTCGCTACCATAGCGGAAAGTTCCTCAGAATAAATACCAAGAAAGTCTTTATAGGAAATTCACTGGGTAGCTACGTTTCGGGGAGTGGGAAACGGACTGAGACGCAAGGTCAAGACCAATAATATCGTAGCCCCTTCTTTGGATATTATCAAAAATCTCTAAATATATAGCAGGAGCACCAGACCAGATGTAGTAGCAATATTCCAAGCAAGAACGAATGGTAGACTTATAAATATGTAAGATAAATTCTGGTGAGAAAAATTATCTAGCGCGCCATAAAGAATAAACTTTCTTAGCTGCAAAGTTTTCTTAAAAGGGTTTTACGAATTAATCTTTTTTATGTCCAATAACTTTTATCGCTCTTTCTAATATCGATGGGACTTTCTTTCCAAACGTTTTTTTTTTCACAATACTAATGGTAATAGCAAAATGAGAACTTTCCAAACATGGAGCATTCGACATTCACATTCTAGTACTGATGGGAATTTCCTTCCAAACGTTGTGTCTTTCTTAAGAAGAATGTGCACGTAGAGTAGCAGTTATTGCCGCGGATAGTGGGATTGACAGAAACGTTAGATTCACACTCGCACTATTACCGCTGGAATCATAGGAATCCGACCTTTTATTCTCATCCATCTAGAGATTAACATCAGTGTAGACTGGGCTCTCAAACTTTGGTGGATAACCGGTCTAGGAGAAGGTCAATTCAAAACCGGTTGAGTGTAGGGCTAGCAAATCTACTCCGTAAAAAAACTACTTGCTATGAAAACCACCAATGCAAACAACTCGCTTTGGGTGGCTGTGGCTTGATATATCACTGAGGAGACTACAATTGATAACATAAAACGTAGATCTACATTAATAGCCTCTTGAAGTATTATAAGATTTTTTAGAAGCAGTCCCCCCCAAAAAAAAACGGAAATATGTAACACGTGTAACATTGTGCGTGTAAAATAAATGAGAATAGTTAAAGGTTTAGACATTAAGCAAAAAGAAAAAATATCTCTTAACTAATAAACAGCCACAAAGGTTGTTGGAAATATATAGTATTTATGAAAAGGAAAAGACGAAGGATGTATCGAGATCTTTTCAATGACCGTGAATTGACGAATCAATAACAAACGTGAACTCAAGATTTACTGATAAATAAATTTTCTTCATCCAAAATTCTTTAGAGAGTATTTTGAGCTTGGTATCGAAGACATGAGCCTGCAAAATTTATTACCCCAGCTTCAAGCCTAAATCACGAGATGATAAGCTGGGGTAATAAATTTGATCTACAAAGGTCACTTGTGCTCAAAGATCCCTAGACATTTTTCCTCGCATTCCTTTTGTCTTTCTTTCATTATCAAACTTTAGACGCCAAAGAGAACGCATTTTGTCCGGTGGGGAAACACATCTTTGATAAAAAATATTACACTTTCTCTCGTCGGATATTATACATCCCCCCCACATATATTGATCTTGGTATTTCAGTAGTCTGTTCAGTAGTATTTCAATAAAATATTTGAAGATATAACGATATCATAACTCAACATATTAGCACTTGTACCATTTTCTACTTCCCACATCTACCTAACCTCGGAAGAACAGGGAAAAACAGTTACATCCATTGTAAACCTTGACAGAAATCTTTAATTAACCTGGGAGCCTGTTGGTCAGTCAGCATGTCGACTAACCTGGCGAGAAGAAAACTGTTCTGATATTTCCTTAGGGTTCTGATCAAGAAGCGGTTACAAGGGTGAAACATGGTTGGGACGAAGATAAAACCAGTAAATATTTAATCGTTCTGCTGACAGAGGGCGCGATTAGCAAAACCTGCTTGCGTGTCTGCTGAAAAGCGGGAAACCTGCTTATCAATAGTTTAGTTCCGACGTTGTATTGCTCTCTCTCTCTCTCTCCGATAGCGAGCACCAAAGACAAATGAACTCGTGTAACATAATGCTTCCCTTGTCTGCCTTGGTGCGGTTTTAATCTCTCTGTTTTCTTTCTTCTTTCTTTCTTTCATTCTTTCTTTCTTTCTTTCTTTCTTTCTTTGTAGATTTAAACATTCCGTCTCTAATTACTTTTTAGTTTAATCTTGTCATCTCTCGATTTATCATTGGTACAAAACTCCTCTTTTCGTCTCCTACTTCTCCCCTTCCTTCTTTTCACCTTATTTCTTTCTATTTTCTTCCCTTTCTTATTTCTATCATTTTATTTCTAAACCTTCTTTTATTTCACTCCTTCTCTGTATCCCGTCACATCTCTTTTTCCCCCTCGATCCGTGTCTTTTCTGTCTTTTTTTTTTTTTTTTTAAATGCCGCCCTATTTCATGCAAAGTCATATTTTAAAATGGCGTCGACTTTGGAGCGGTATGAGCGTTTCTTTTGTTTTTGTTAATTTATTTACTTTTTTCTTTAAATTATTTATTTTGATGGATGAGAAAGGTGGAGAGTTGTAAAGCGCACGGGATCCAAAGAAAAAAAAAAGAAGAAAAATGTCAACCAGTAAGATCGTGAGCTTGATAAGAAATAAAATTCATGTAATGTATCGATGGCGAGACAAGATTACCAAAAAAATAAATGCTCGTATGTAACCTTGTTCGAAGAAGAAGAAAAATAATGGACCAGTGACAATGCAACAGGGATGGTTTTCATAAGAATGCGCATGCTACAAACACACACACACACACACACACACACACACACACACATACATATAGATAGATAAAGATACAGATAGGGATTAAGAGATTAGTGTAGTCTGGTCCAGGAAAAAATTAATTGTTTTATGCTAATCTTCTAAGATCGAATGAATCTGCTAACCTTGAAGATGAGCATTCAAAAGCTTAGCTTTTATAATTGGTTGAGCTCTAACCCCAGTATCAGTCGGAAATGCGCAACTGTTTCCGTTACCTAAACAGTCTCACCCCGCACACACACACACACACACACACACACACACACACACACACACACACACACACACACACCTACGAATTGGATGTGCAGGCAATGTAACGACTATCAACGTGAAAAGTGGAATCCTAGTTCAAATTCCTACCTAGTCTGTTGCCTTCACTTTATTATTCATGCCACTAGGAAAGGCACGAATTCATTTCTTCTCCCCACCCTCCAGCTATGGGATAAACAGTAATATAGACTTGGCTCTCTAGCCTTGAGTGGCAGCCAGCCTAAAGCAACAACTTCGAATACGAAACAGTTGAGAAGGCAAATGAAAATCGCATCACATGTCAACAGTTTCGTAATTTGTCATTCGTCAGTAGTTTCGATAAGATATATATGAAATCTACGAATATTCAGCAGATGATGTTGATAGGTAGTCTAAAGTCTTTAAATAAATGCTTTCAATGAGTTAGTAGAGCATTGGTATGGGCGTGTGAGATACCTCGGTTTCGATAGAGGATGTATCTGCCGAAGTCTTTAATAAATACTTTCAATGAGTTAGAGCACTGGTGTGGGCGTGTGACATCCCTCGCATTCCGTAGAGGATATATCTGCCGTAGTCTTTTAAAAATACTTTCAATTCTCGGTAGTAGATGCGCACTGCTGATGAGTCCCAAATACAGGGCGAAACGGCCGTCTAGTGCTTTCTGTATTCTGTTGAGGTTTCTTCTAGACTCGATGAATTACTTTATATATATATGTGCGTGTGTTTGCGTGTGCGGATAAAAGGAAAACTAAATTTTTCTTGACAAGGTGTGACATAACGGTTGCTGCAAAAATGAAATCTCTGGAAATGTCTTCGCAATTATCAAGTCTATCCTGTTAAAGAGAGCCTTGAGCTCGTAGCCAGTGGCCAGGATTCTAAAGCCCATGAGATCAATATAGGTCTCCGCCAAGACTCTCTCCTCAGTATAACCCTCCTTTTGTTTTATCTGTCTAAGAATATTCTCAGATCCTTAGTAAATACTAAAGACATACTATGAATATGATTCCACAGTTTATGGGTGCACCGTCAAAAGTGTAGGTAACCAAAACTGGGCAAATGAACTCACATCTGAACTCGCTCTAAACGGCCAATGGGATAAAAAAGCGGCCCTGTCATTTTCAATACCTGAAAAAACTGGTAACTTTACACCACCACCAAAAAAACCCTGAAAAGAAAGAAAAAAGAAAGAAAAAATGAAGCAAAAAAGAAAGAAAATGAAGCAAATAAGAAGGAAAAAAGAAAGCAAAAAAAGAAAGGGAAAACAAAAAAGAAAGCAAAAATCGAAAGCAAAAAAGGAAAACAAAAAAGAAAGAAAAAAGCAAAAGAGAAAAGCAAAGAAAGCAAAAAAAAACGCAAAAAGAGAGCAAAAAAGAAAGCAAGAACAGAAAGCAAAAAAGATGGCAAAAATTAACAAAAAGAGCAAAAAAGAAAGTAAAAATAAAGCAAAACAAGGAAATAAAAAAGAAAACAAAACAAATAAAACTGAAAGCAAAAAAGTAAACAAAAATGAAAAAAGCAAATAAGAAAGAAAAAATGAAAGCAAAATAAGCAAAAAAGAAGCAAAAAAAGAAAAAATGAAAGAAAAAAGAAAACAAAAAGAAAGCAAAAAAGCAAAAAAGAAAGCAAACATGAAGGCAAAATAGAATGCAAAAAAAGAAAGAAAAAGAGAAGGCAAAAAAGAAAGAAAAAAGGCAAAATATGAACGCAAGAAAGTAAGCAGAAAAGAAAGTAAAACAGAATAAAAATGAAAGCAAAAAAAGGAAAGCAAAAAAGAAAGCGAAATAGAAAGACAGAAATAGAAAAAAAGAAGGCAAAAAAGAAAAAAAAGGAAAAAACTAGACAAAAATGACAGCAAAAATGTAAATCAAGAAAGTAAAATAGAAAGACAAAAATAGTAAAAATGAAAGCAAAAAAGAAGGCAGAAATGAAAGAAAGCAATAAAAAAGCAAATAAAATTGAACAAAGCAAAAAAGAAAGCAAATTTTAAAGCTAAAAAGAAAGCAAAAAAAGAAGCAAAAAAGCAAAACCAAAGCAAAAGAGAAAGCAAAAAAGGAAACAAAAGAAGCAAAAAAAGAAGGCAAAAAAATCCAAAAAGTCAAAAAAAGAAAGCAGAAAAGAGAAAAAAATCCAAAATGACATAAAAAAACCCAAAAGAAAGCAATAAGTAAAGAAAAGAATAATTCAAAAATTAAAGACAATAAAAAAAAAGAAAAGAAATACAAATGAAAGAGCAGAAATTACGTAAAAGGCCGAATTTCAAGAGGTAAAAAGAAAAGCGAGTTTTCAGAATCCATCACCAATTTCTCGACGACTTGATATTCTCTTAAGGAAAACCGCCCGGCTAAGCACTATGGCGTTACGGTTTCGGAGTTGGCTGGTACGTCTCTTTCGCTCTATATCCGCATCCATTTCCAGAACAATGCTTACCAACTAGCTGCAAGATTCGATATCCTGTGATGTCATGTCACAACCTGCTGTACTCCGCTGTGACATTTCCTGAAACACTTGTTTTTATACTTGAAACTCATTTGTTATTTGTATTCACTTATTCAGTGTTCACGCCACTAGTAACTAGTAGTTTACAATGGAGGTCATGCGATAGTAAGTTTTATAAATACCCAAGTACTCTCCTCAGTATTGTAGCTGTTTTCACTAATATTCACGTTTTGATATTTCCTCAGATTTTTAGTTATTTCAGACTAGCAGCATGACCCGACGTTGATACAAAAGTCGTCCGACTCATACAGCAATCGCTATCACTTGACTTAAAATATTTTTGCCCTTCCTTGCCTTTAAAGTTGTGCCCTTTGCCGTGCCGATGTTGCTACGTGCCTTACTTCTTGCCTATCTCACACTGCAATTTTTTTTCTAAGCTCTATACCAAACATTAAATCTGTTACGAAAAAAGAACTAAACAAAATGAACACAAAACGATCAGCTTTAAAAAAGAACTCGTAACTGGAAAAACCGAATGAAAAAAGAATGTTAACAACAAATACTTTTTCACACCCAACCCAGTTCTACGGAATCAGAATCAACGTTGAGTTTAATCAAAGCGAATGAGCCAATTGGAGTAAAGTGCCATGCAGATTTAAATTTTTCCCCACTTGTGACGAATGCAGCTATCGATTTTTTTTTGCATGCTAGCATGCTAGTTAACATTCGTGTCAGTCAGCTGTTGGCTCTCACGCTGGTCAATAGAATCTACCTGCCTATTTGTGGCAGCCAGCTATAGGCTCTCACTCTGGCCAGTAGAAAATGGCCGCAAACTACATAAAAACTGCCGTAGAAGCATGAAAACATCGATTATTTCCACTATCGATGGGAGTTGGGAAATGCAAAGCCGGTCTTGGCCTTCCCGCTAACTTGGAGCATGTGCATGTAAATTGTGGTGCAAATCCGTCGAAGATTGCGGCCGTGCATTCGTTACAAACACACACACATCCTACCATTTATAGATAGAGATTATTTGTCTAAGCTTTTAGAGATTGCCCAAGTCGTCGTAAAACGATAGACATAACTGTCTCATTCATGTTCCATTTTTTTTATTCAGTTCCTTTGTAATTCCTCTATCCAAGTTTTTGTTTTCTTTCAATTTTATTGAGTGATCTGCTGTAACAGGTTCATTAGACAAGTTCTCTTTTCTTTCTTCACATTGATCAGATCTCATTTTGGGGCCTTGATTGGTTGATTAGTCTTGTTCTAATCTTAAAGTCCTAGAGAATTTACCTTTTATTTACACTATTTACACATAGGATACTCTCTTTGTCTTTGCTGTTATTATCACAACATTTCGACCGTTATGGCCTCCAGACTTTATCAAGTGCACGTCAATCCGGGTAACCTACAGGAAATTCCGAACTGAACCCTTTATTTAATCTACGCGAGGTAGACTGTTCTCGTTCCACATTTCCGTATACCTCGACTACTGCCCAGTTATTGCTCACCTGTCTCCACTGAGTCCAAGTACACACTGACCAGCCCAGGGATTGAACTCACAATTAGTATGTAACTAAATTCACGAACCAACGCTTTAATCCACTAGGCTATTGTCATATTTTTAAAAAATCCATAGAATTCCTCGTAGATTATCCGGATCTATGTAGACCTGATGAAGGCACAACGGCCGAAACAACAAAGAACAGGACAATAGTCGCATGTAATTAGTGTAAATAATAGTAACACCTCATTCCAGAAATTCAGATAGAATTTTGAGTTTTATTATCTGAGACAGATCTTGGATTATTCATGTAGCATTAGTTTTTGACTTTATTCTTGCGTTTTCTTCTTCTATGTGCCTCGTCCATTTAGGACGTTGGCCATCATGGCTCTCCACAATTTCCTGTCCTTCGCAGCTTTTAATAAATTTTGTCTTTTTGTTATCTCTCCTAAACCTTGTTCCGACATCCATTTACTCAAGCTCGCTAAGTAGGTTATGCGTTGTTTTTCTCTTCACTCAGTCCAGTGAGTATCAGATTTTCCATGCTCTCTTTCCTCATTATGTACTCTTCAACATTCTCTTCCTGATTTTAAGTATAACAGTTAAATGTAACCGCCTCTTCTGCTCCAACAGCTTCTTCTCTTACACTTCCCGACAGTAGAACTCCTTTCCTCTTACTTGCTTCCCTGATGACTATAACCTTCGAAAATTTAATCCACGTTCTTCTTTTTCCCTTTTTTCTCAATCTCCCCTGTAGTCAGTCTTTTCTCTTACTTTAACTCTCTGTAGACCCGTGCGTACTAGTGGCACTCCTGCCTTCATTGGGGTGAAATACTTATTAAAAAAGTGTTCCCTTTTGTTTCCATTTTCTCTAAAACTTCGTCAGGGCTCACATGTTCAGTCCATGATATTCTCAGCAACCTTCTTTAGAACCACATTTCTGTTGCTTCAAGTCTCTTCTTTATTGGCGAAGAGATTGCCCAGCATTCACTGCCATATAGGAAGACTGATATTGTATAAAAGGTCAGTACACTTCTCTGATCTGAACTAAATTTTTCTGTTTGCTTAACTTTTGTGTTATGGTCCAAGGTCCTTGTACCACGGTGATGGTCCAAGGTAGAACCAATAAAGAAGAATTCGAACACGGATATGGAATAACACAGATATATTACAAACAGGAATATATACAGAGAAATAGAAAGTGTTAGTACGAAGAATCAGGTTTAGTAGGGAGAACAATGTAATCTCGACCAGTATCACTATTCCAATGTCTTGTAGTAATTGTCTGAACGCGACTCTATTTCGGACTGCCTCTGACTCGACTGACTGACTCGCTCGCTCTGACTGACTGACAGACTCCTGAGGGACTTCACTCCAGAATTCATACTGAACAGTATTTAGTCCCCCCCAACGAGGGCATCATGTGGCACAAGGCCGGTTTAACGTAGGATCTCCAAGCCCGTGAGCTCGGCCAAAAATATGCCCTTTGAACCCGTATAAACGGGTTCAGGGTCGGTTTACCTCCCCGAAAGAGACTCCGCCCTTCGGCGTAGCCTCGTTCGGGTTCCTCCCCGCCCGAAGGCAGAGAGTTGAACCGATCAGTCGGTCAGCCGGTCGTCCGACTTTGGACTGAACACCCTGCTTCTTCTTGAGGCGCAGTATTTATTATGTATGGAATAGTCCATTATGTTGTTATGGGTAAGGTCCCATAACATTTTGCATGGCACTTTTTGCCATACCAATTTGCCTACGATTTCACTGTCACCCATTCCGTCCACTATTAAAACGATTCCCAGATTATTAAAATGTTCTCCTTGTTTGGTTTTGGTATCTTCACATAATTATTTGTGAGGGAGAAGCACTCCAACAAAGTGACGCTAGGGTACAAATATAAGAAGTCCGATATATCCATCATGACACCCAGTCTGATAAGTCCATGAGTGGCACATGACACACAGTCTGATCAGGCTATACCAGGAACATGACACCCAGTCTGATAAGGGCATACCAGGAACATGACACCCAGTCTGATAAGGGCATACCAGGAACATGACACAGTCTGATAAGGGCATACCAGAACAGTCTGATCAGGCTATACCAAGTCTACACCCAGTCTGATAGGAACATGACACCCAGTCTGATCAGGCTATACCAAGCATATGACACCCAGTCTGATAAGGGCATACCAGGCACATGACACCCAGTCTGATAAGGGTATACCAGGCACATGACACCCAGTCTGATAAGGGCATACCAGGAACATGACACCCAGTCTGATAAGGGCATACCAGGAACATGACACCCAGTCTGATAAGGGCATACCAGGAACATGACACCCAGTCTGATCAAGCTATACCAAGCATATGACACCCAGTCTGATAAGGTTATACCAGACACATGCCACCCACTCTGATGTCACATTTCAAACATATTCGCGATATGTAATGAAAGCAAGGCATATCCTTGCAAGTGGTGCCCAGTTAGCAATACCTTCAGCTCGAGTAATACAGGCCGTTCCGACGACATTCGCTTGACGGTGTTCGTAAGTATGCTAGGCACATGGTACCAAGTGTGATAAGGGTATACCAATCAAATAGAAACCAGTCTGATAAAGGTATACCAAGGATATGGAACCCAGTCTGATAAGGGTATACCAGGCACATTACACCCAAACTGATTAGGTTATACCAGGCACATGTACCACAGCCATATTTGCGATATGCAATAAAAGCAACGCGTAACCTTGTAAGTGGTGCCCAGTTAGCAATACCTTCAGCTCGAGTAATACAGACCGTTCCGACGACATTCGATTGACGGTGTTCGCAAGTATCTAGATGTGACTCTAATGTCGCCTGTTTTATCTTTGAAACCTACCCTCGCGGCGACACCAGGCCACTAGTCCCACCCAGGAATAAATGCATATTGTGTCGGTCACTAGGGAATGTGTCCAACTGTTTAAAGTCAAGTAGGGGACAAGCAAATCGGTGGTACCAAACTGGATGTTTACTGTGGGCCGTCTTAATTGACCATGTCAAAATATATACGAGGGCAAGTCCCAAGTCTTCCGCACTTTAGCCAGAATATATCTTTAGATTTGTCACACTGTCTTCTGCACATGCGTTCTTATAGTTGGTACTATTGTGGATACGTGATCGAAGTTTGAGCTTGGTTGCGCAAGTTTTCTTGCCGCTGTTACAGTGTAAACATAACCGCTTCACTAACAGTGTGCACCAAGGAGGAACAAAGAACAGTAATCCCCACAAAGAATGTGGACTTGAAGATATCTCTGCAATAGTGCTTAAGACATGTGCTCCTGTTCTCTCTAAAACTATAATAAATGCCTTAGCGTTTCTTGCTTTCCAGATTGTTGGAAATCATCTTCTGTAGTTCCAGTTTTTAAGAACACTGGCGAACCCTCTGATCCTTCTAACTATTGGTCTGTTAGCTTTCTATCTCCTTTTGGTAAAGT